TATGGGCCCAGTTCCTATAAATTTATAAGGGAACACACCCACTAAAAAATGTTTGACCTATCAAACTAGTTGGCGACATTAAAAATATACAGGCAGAGGGCAGGGTTTTGAATTTCCGAGGGAAATTTTGGGGTAAAATGACAATGACGACAAAATGCAACATGAAAATAAAGATGGCGATCACCGCGTGATATACCATGAATGCGCCAGTCGCGCTGCACAGAACCAACTGGACCGTAAACTTGGTAAGAAAATCATAATTTCTACCCCAAGAAACTGTTTAAAAATGTCAAAATGATGTCTTTGCATTGAGAGAAGTCTGCTTTAAGGCTGATGTCGACATAAACAATGTCAGTTTTTAGTAATAAAAAAAATCTTGATTTTAGTTTGATAGAAAAAACAAACAAACAGGGGCCATACACGACACGATCGCCCGGTTTACGCGACAGAATGGTAATGCTTTGCATGCGATTGCGAACACCGGGCTTTGTGAATGCACATCGCCATGATCGCAACCTTGGTATGCGATTCTTTCCCAGCTAAATACTCACGACCGGACCATGGACGTCTTGCAGTTTTTTAGGTTTTTATAACATTGGGTTGACGGCGGACAAAACCATCCCACAGGTCAGCAGAAATACAACCATAACAACAGCTCCAGTTCCATGACATTATCAACATGGCGACAGTGCGGCGAGACAACTTTTTAAAAATGGCGGGCTTCAGCATGACAGCCATTCCATTGTAATCGTAATCTGTTGGTAGCACACGTGCAGTGCAAAAGAGTAGAACAGATCCCATTCATTTCGCATGCCTCTCACAAAACAGCAACACCTGTGTGCACGTACGTACGTGGGCAGTGTGTTGACAGTGTGATGCGCATACCTTTGGATTTTTTGCAAACATGGGATTCGTTTGAAATTGGGCTTTCACTTCCAGAGATGTTATTTGTCACTTTCGCGATATACTGGTATTGGTCTTTGTTCTGCTCTGAAAACATTGAATAATTGTTGACAGTCCGAATGTTACAGTTGCTATGCTTGGATTGGACGTGTAATTAGCTGTCGAAACGATTACATTCATGACTCTGAGCCGAACCAGCCCGAAATTTCAGAAACGCCACTGTTTAGAGGGCGCTGTTAAAGTGACAGGTGCAGCGTGAATTTTCGACTCCATGAAATATGGACTCATTCGTATTATATGCTGTTTTAAAGGGAAAATACAACATTTGCAAACATCAAAAAATAAAACTACCAAATCACTTTGAAATACCTTGCTGGACTGTTAGTGAATGACAGTGTAAAGCATCCTGTAAAATCATGGCACCTGGTATACTGTCATTTTCAAGAAAAGTGGTATTTTTGTATCAATTTCCAACGCTGATCGGCCGATCAGCGTTGGAAACAACTGGCTCTTTTTTCAAATACTGGCCCCAATTGACCATCGCACTTGTTTGCAATCGATTACAAACCTATGAACGGGTACAAGCCAGCTAGACTGGTTCCCTGACCTTACAATTCCCCAATGTATGTAAACTGCTCTGTTTCTTCTTATATGGAGTCAGGGAACCAGACTACAGGAAAGTGATCGTTTTTCTTGGTTTTTATAGCATTTTCGAAACCAAAACCTCAAAAAAAGTCAGTGTAACTATATTTGCTATATATTTCCAACCCCCCAATTCCATCCATTTCTGAAAATTACAGCAAAAGCAAATGATGTATATTCCCTTTAAGGATCATAATGGAAGAGTGGCCTTTCACATGCGAGGGATTAACCAAAAACAGGGAAAAAAGGAGTGCGATTTTTATAGGAGTCGGATTTTCATTTGACACCGGCACAAAATTGTTACCATACACTTTAGCACCCCAAACTTTTGTTTAGGCCCCTCCCCCCCCCACCCCCAAAAATGAATTGATTTTTGGAGGCCAAAGTGTCCGGAGAAAAAAACACGGTCTACACTTCAGCATGCCTCCCTGCTCAAATGTCTGGATCCATCCCTGCTAGCCCCTCTAAACTATAGGCTCTAGAACCGCGCCTGCCTACCCACCCTGGAATCATGTTGCCGATTTGGGAGCGGAGCTTGATTTTTAAAAAGGGGATGCAAGGAATAAAAAACTGAGAACCATATTAAACATTCATTGTCCTGCTTTTTTATGCTTTGAAATAAAGTTAGACAGGAGATAAAACATTCTAGCATTTCAACACTCATTATTTTCTGTCCATTTTGTGGGCGCGGTCTTAATGTGTAAAAGGGTGGTGTATATAAGTTATTTAATCATATTGTAACAAATCTCGTGCATTTTGGTTGTAAAAACTCAAGCGAGCCTCGTTGAACATGAAAACAACGACAATTCTGGAAAACAGGACTCACACAAAAGATTTATTTGTTATAAATCAGCTGTTTTATTTTCAACCAATTAAAAGTGAGCTATACAGAGTGAGATCTTACCATTGTACAATATACATGTAGTTCAATTTATAACAAGAAAAAGTGCCCGAATTACAAGATGTAACATAATGTGGCAAATCAGTGACAGAAGTATTCATAAAATGAGCAAGACGGGAAAGCACACAGACTAACAAAAGGTTTCTGGACAGGAAAACAAATTGAAATGTGCTGATTATGATCATACATCCCAAATTTTCCACCACAGTTAAAGATCATGCCCAATGCGCTAAAAAAAAAGTCATTTTTTTTTCCTACTAAGAAATTTGAAATGTGTACGCTTTGTTTGAACAAAATAAAATACTTTCTTCTGGTTTTGGGCATCTGCAACCCTCTGAGAAAGGGTTTTCATTTGTAAATGTAAAGAAATAATTCAACAACGGCCTGTCTGAATTCATATCTGGGACGAGTTCCAGACAAGCTGCGGATATTGTATCAGGTATCAAGTTGCAGATTCTAAACCACTTCCCCGCAATCTTCCCGCAGTGAAGCTACCAGTATTGACAATTTCCCGGAACACGTCCGGGACAAATGCAGAGCTTCTTCTGTACAAATTGAACCATTCTACCCAACACTTGTCTGGAACCCCCTCCGGATATGAATTGAGACGGGCCCTAATTTGGTATCTCATTCAAAAATGAATAACTTGGATATTACAAGAAAAATGCCAATAATTCAGTGTGAATCATCTCCTAAAAACTGTGACTCTTTTTTGAATTTTAACCCTCCAACTGATATAACTGTCACAAAGCATCCAAAAATCTATCCACTTCCTCTCCCACAGCTTTTGTACAGGCTAGTCGCCAACTACCAGAACCCCTATGGATTAAACCGTATAACTCTCAAAGCCTGTTGAAGGGGTTTGATAGATAGGGCGATCATTACCGTAAATTTCGGAATATAAGCCGCGGCTTATACATTGAATTTGCCCATGAAAATGTTTAATGCGGCTTATACACAGGGCATTCTTAAGATTGCGTGATTTTGGGTGGGTGGGTGGGTGGGTGGGTGGGTGGGTGGGTGGGTGTGTGTGTGTGTGTGTCCGGATAAATCTTGTCAGCGCGATAACTTGAGAAATACTTAACATATGAACTTCAAATTTGGTTTGTGGATTGTTCTTGGTAATCCTAAGAAGCCTTTTGCATTTGGGGCCAAAAGGCCAAAGGTCAAGTTCACAGTGGCTAAAACAATAGAAATCTTGTCAGCGCCATAACTTGAGAAATAATTAACATATGAACTTCAAATTTGGTTTGTGGATTGTTCTTGGTAATCCTAAGAAGCCTTTTGCATTTGGGGCCAAAAGGCCAAAGGTCAAGTTCACAGTGGCTAAAACAATAGAAATCTTGTCAGCGCGATAACTTGAGAAATACTTATCATATGAACTTCAAATTTGGTTTGTGGATTGTTTTTGGCAATCCTAAGAAGCCTTTTGCATTTGGGGCAAAAAGGCCAAAGGTCAAGTTCACAGTGGCTAAAACAATAGAAATCTTGTCAGCGTGATAACTTGAGAAATACTTTACATGTGAACTTCAAATTTGGTTTGTGGATTGCTCTTGGCAATCCTAAGAAGCCTATTGCATTTGGGGCCAAAAGGTCAAGGGTCAAGTTCACAGTGGCTAAAACAATAGAAATCTTGTCAGCGCGATAACTTGAGAAATACTTAACATACATGTATGAACTTCAAATTTGGTTTGTGGATTGTTCTTGGTAATCCTAAGAAGCCTATTGAATTTGGGGCCAAAAGGTCAATGGTCAAGTTCACAGTGGCTAAAACAATAGAAATCGTGTATTTATTCTGAGATTATAGGGATTACGGATTAATTCATATAAAACCTACAGAAGACACTTATGCTGTCAATGAATGTTCCATGTGACCAAGGTACATGTAAGTTGATGTTAAAAGAGTGGTGTTATGTCATGGGAACTGTCACGGTTGCGGGGCATTTGTGTTTGTAAACACACCTGACTTGTTTTTGAATGGTTCCCGTCGATTTTGAAAACATTTGTGTCCCATATCCCAAACAATTATTGAACGAAATTTCAATTTAGTGCACTGTGTTGTTCTTGAGTTATCGTCTCCACAGGAGTGCTTCATTTTTGTTCCTTTAAAAGTGACTCGAATTTGAATTATATTTTTCGCGATAAGTACACTGTATTTCCTTAAATCATATAAAAATTATTCCTGATTGGTTCCCGTCGATTTTCAAACCATTTGTGTCCTATATCCCAAACAATTATTGAACGAAATTTCAATTCAGTGCACTGTGTTGTTCTTGAGTTATCGTCTCCACAATGTCCATCACTTGTGCCAACTTCGTTTGGGCAGATCGTATCCACGTTGACAGAAGTCTTTGCGGTGTGGTGACCAGTATTTGTGTAGCGCGCCCTCTGTTGGAAGAATTTGATGTCGGTAAAATGCACGGCAGTGCTCTCAAGTATTGTCGTTTTTGTTTTTGTAGTATTGATTTTCTTCTTCACCGGTTTCTGTTGAATTTCGAATATATTGTTAGGGATATCACAGTCAAGTATGGGACGCAATTTCAAATCCGTGCAATTTGTTTTTCTGGAGTTATCGTCTCCACAATGAGTGCTTTATTTTTGTTCCATTAAACATTATTTGGTTTCAAAGCAATTGGCAATTATCAGCAAATTATAGTGAAGTTCATGTTTGTAAATTGAGAACAGGGTGAGGAAATCAAGAAAACCAAAAACATTGGTGGTTAAATACTCGTATCTGACATATAATGCTCCCTCTGTTCACACAGGCCTCATTTCGACTTGCAAGTTTTTTTTGGAATTGATGAGCTCTCAATCTTAACTACTTTTGATAAAGCATACCAATGCAATAGGTATTGATCAGGTTATTTTAAATTTGACAAATTGGAAATATAACTCATGCTGACTTAAATCTTGGTTTTGCATAGATTTTGCATGCAATTTTATTCTGAAGTTTACATACTCCAATACAAAAAATTGAAATTTGTATCTATTTATTTGATGACTTTGTCAGGGAATCAAAGTCACCAAAAATCTCACAAAAATTCTCTTGGTGTGTGATCATTCCGTACTTGAGACTGAAATACAACTTTTCTTTAGTGCTGTAACGTCTCAACCTGATGAGGATCTCACTAGTCCTCTCCCCAGTCTCCCCAATGGGAATCACATCAAACAGTGGAATAGTCTGGTCCCTTCTCCTCCCCCAGAAGTTCATGTGGGCTATTTTAATGCTGTCCCTGTTCCGGTGAAGGTAGATAAACCCAATGATGCGACGAAGGAAAAAACTCATGCTGTACAGCATCACTAAAGCAAAGGTCGCCACTGAGAGCGAGTACAACAGCTGGTATTCGGTGATCAGTCCTACTGTGTGCAGGTACCACATTGGTGGCGCTATGCCCATGGTAAAGAACGTTTGTGCAAGTTTAAAGCGGGAAATAACTCGTAGATATCTCATTCCTGGAAAACAGTAGACAGTTGTATACTCCTTTTCACAGTTGTTACTTTTGCCATCGTCCAATGAGGTCGTTTTTTCCACTTGAGCTCCAGAGCTGGAATGGGACTTTGCTGGCTGTTGCGCTTGGAAGACTGCTGGAAACGTTGAACAAATGTTTCTTGACAAAAGTCCAGCATTGCCTCCAGTGGTTGAGATGTGACTGCTCTGTTGATGGAACATGCAGATTTGAACCCATCTTGTTGTGTGAGGAGACTCTGAAGCAACAGAGTGGTGCAAGAAGCCAAGCGCCAATCGATGGGTGGATGTATTTAATCGCCGGAGTGTTGCAAACATTTTGTACTGAAGAGTGACAAACTTGATAAAGTTCGTTGAATTCAACCTTAATCTGGACATTCAGTTGTGTTCCTGTTAGAAAAAAAAATAAAAGTTTAGTTTACATTCAGCAAATGAGTATTAGCAACAATTTAACAAAAATGCACAGCAGCTATTTTGTTTTTTTTTTAAAGTCATTAAAAAAGAAATTACGATGGTCAAACATGTTCAAAGTATTGACAGAATAGGGTTAAGGAAATTCAATGGCAGAAGACAAACGTGAAAATGTAACATGGCCAACATCAACAGACTCAGAGACTCTTTCTTGAATTAGAAGGCACTAAGTACTCAGAGACCAACACAGAAGGCCTACATCATGGAAATCAGATTCAAACCAGAACATACAGAAAAAGAAGTGTAAAAAGCAAATTTGAGTAGGCCTAATTACAATTTTTTAAGTGTTTTCTAACACAAACAAAACTCTGGAACAAATAGTATTACGCAGTCCTCAGTGAATCCTTTTCAACATTCATGTACTGTATCTGCTATGAATGACAATCAGTGAGGAAAGAACTCCATACATGTACATGGACATCACTTGACACCCTGTGCACAAACCCTATGTGAGTGGTCTGAACAATTCTAATTGTTTTCTCAGTAAATGCTTCAACATTTTAAATATTTTCCCTGCTGAATAAACTTTGAATTTTTTGGACATGGTTGATATGTCATGTATGTAGGTCATTGCAGTATGAAGGCCAATTCTTTCCACCAGTGAGATCGAAAACTGGTGAAAAACTAGCTTGAGTAATAATCCATTCACATGTACATGTGAATGAATATGAGCATGTCAGCTGGAGTTATTCAAGCTGGTGAGAAACGGTGTCATGATACTGCATTCTACACGGAATATGAACTGCTCCGTCAGTCCACGCACAACGAGATGTACTAGTTGTGCATGTCAAGGCAGCTGTCAAGCCTGCACTGCATGCAGTACTCAGGCAGTGTCACTCATGTGTCAAGTTGCGTGAAACTTTCACGACACGGTTGGCATCTTATTCGCATGGACATGATGGAGTTATTTCGAAAGTATTATTTAACATCAGGTTATTAACATTTCAAACTAACTAACCGTTGACTAAAACTGAAATTTTCATCAAAATCAAGACGTTTCTAATTCTTCAAACGTTTTAGGCTACTTTGCTGCAGTTTTTTGCGTCAGCTCGTTCATGGGCGCCGCCATTGCCTTCCCATCATGCATGCGATAAATTTTCCCAGCAAGTAAAATGATCTGGTTTCGGACTTCGGTTGCATGCACGTCATAATCTGCTGGTCTGGTCGTTGACCAGACTACGCGGATCCAGGAAATGAATCAGCCGTGTAAAAGCAAAAATCCACACAAAAGTAGCGGAGGTGAAAACAACAGCTGTATGTGAAATACAGGCAACATTCTCCTATGAGCTTATTAACTGTTCATCCACAATGGAAAAACTATTTCGAAAGATTCAGGGGAAGAAGGCTCCCCATCCCCCAAAGCGAGATTACACCGATAAACAGAGTGGGGATCGGAGAACGAAGAGTTCCATGAGCGACTCCGAAGATGAAAGCGGTGGGGGAGTGTTCCGCGGGTCCAACGAGACATCACCGCGGGGAAGCTCGCCTACTCCACACGGCGGCAATGTGGAGAGGTTCAGGTTCGGTAGCCAGACCTCTTACGGGACTGGAACCGTGGACTTAAAAAGCTGCGGTGCGGGCTCAGGTGTCCAGATTGGTACAAATAGTAGAGGAAATGTGGTTGGAGGTGAAGGGATGTTGGACACAAGAAGACGAAATGACAGCGGAGGGGGTCCAAAAAGCCCAAACACAAAGACAGTAAGTTGAATTATGCCAGATGCGCACCTTGATATTGAATATGAACATGTGCAAATACTATTTTTCTAATGCAGTTTTTTTCCCTCATTCATGTCTTCATGGTCTTTTAAACTGGATGATGATGCCTAGCGGCGATATCCAGTCAACTTTCTGAGATTCTGAGATAAATGCCTTTTTAATTATATAAATTTCAATCTGTAATTACCCGCGAATGAGGTTCGTAATTATGGCATTCGGTCGTTTCGTTCCCAGACCTGACAATGCGTTCTTGCAGAGTGTGCAATAAATAATGTAGATTACATTAGCCATTTTTTTTTATTGTAGTGCCACAACTATAGAAGATCTTTGGAAATCATGTCACGGCTGCCATAATGACAAAAAAGTACAGCCATTTCCTAAATTATGTGGTAAACAAAAAGGTTCAGGATGGGAAAGAATGTTGCAACCTGATGCCACTTTTTTCCTCATATATTATCTTAATGAAGGTCAGTCATTGCAAACATGATGATAAGGCCAAAAAAAAAAGTCTCCGGTTTCTGGTATGGAGCTTGCCCAAAAAGTGGTGCGGCGACGCGGCCTTTTTTTTTTTACCTGATATTTTTGCTTCAAATGTTGGCTGATGACTGCAAATGGTGCCCGACTAAACTTAGTGCAAATATATGGGAGACCAGAGAGGCCACATAAAGCTTATTCTCGACCATAACCCATTTTGGCCTAAGACATGAATCCAGGACTGAGAAACCACCGAAGTAGCGTCAGGTTGGAACATTGTTTCCTCAGGATGATGCAACTGCAAGTTCTACTTGATAGATTTTTGTTTACATACATGTGAATGCAAGAGTAGGACTAAACAACGTACTTAAAAAAAAATTCTCTATCATCAAAAGCACATATTCTTAGATAATGATTACTAAAACAAAATACAAATATTTGTGCAAACTGACATATATCTAAGAATTTTTCTATTGACTCCTCCACAAGAACAAGCAAATTGTGTAATCCTGAGAACTTCAATATAAATTATAACTTATAAATATATAAGGATGAGTTCCAGGTACAGTTGTAATTTGGAATGTACAATGCAAATCATAGTCAAGTCCACAAGTCCTTACAAGTCCATCACAAGTTTTATCCAGTGACAAGCTGTCCACATGAACTATGTTATTGTTGATCTTTTGTCACCTGTGACTGCACTAGTGGAAGGACTTATGATTTACCTGTGACCGGACTTGTGATGGACTCAACTGCAACATTGGTAGAGGGGTGTGTATGCTCTCCCCCAGACAGGGCTCTGGAGTGCTCTGAAATGTGCAAAACTAAATCAGGCCCACTTTACTCACAGTTTGACCAGCAAATTTCTCCAAAAGTTCCACTGGAGCAAAGAAAATGTCCTCAGTATTTCACCAACCAAGTTTGCAGACTGAATTCAATTTTTAAAGGAGACTTTTCTTCAATATTTTGCACATGAGAGGGAAGTCAAGTGATTTCAAAATGGGGCTAAAGACTAGACTGGTACATGTCCAACCATGGTCCAACTATTTGAAAAGACTGTTCTCTTCATTCAGTGTCAATAGTCTGGTGGCTTGACTATGGAGAAATGTGTAGTAAATTGAGACTAGTGCCCGCTTCATGCCACATGTTTCTTAAATTTTTTGGGCATGGTTGATTGATGCAGTACTGAAGCTGTGTTGGACTGGTTTTTTTAGGTGCCAGTTTAGTTTCTTGTTGTGCATGTTTTCAATACCTTAAGTTTTGGGACTCTCATACACAGTATTGAGAGTCCCAAATTTTCGGACTAGCTCTCCCCCAACTCTGGTTCAAACAAGCAGTCACGTACTTATGCAACAGGACAATTTACCACATAAGTTTGCCCTTGTGATCATTGAGAAATGAAAACCCATATCCTCTCCGACTGCCTTTTTCCAAGGTTTTCAATATTTGTAATGTTGCTTGCCAACATTGTGGACTTGGGCATGTTGGGAATGATTCGTTTACCACATGGAATTCAGACTTGTAATTAACATAAATTATGCCTGAGACAGTTTACCCATTCCTATTGTTCGAGAGTCCATCATGCTGGGGTTGTTAAACCGCCAATAAAACACCGCTGCATTCTGCGCCACATCATGCAGTATGCGCCGCGCAGTACACGCTGCGCTTGCGCCAATGTGGAGGAAAGTTTCACAAAACCTGAAGTGTAACTGTTGAAGAAAATTGTTGGAAATCTACAAATTCCCGACTTGTTTTGACTTTTTGACCGAATGCTCAGTCCATTATCCGACTACAAAAAAAAATCAGTATCGCCAGCGCTAATCCTAGCCCTTAGCCGGTTTTAAACATATACACGATTATAGTAAATTGGTAGAGCACAGTGAAGTATTTTGCAAGTTGCTTGTATCAATAAATTGTGTATCCACTGAAAATTACATTTTCCATACATGTATCTTGACATTCACAATACATGTTGCATCATAGCTCAGTGTTCACATTTGTATCCTGATTATTTAAACATGGAAAGCATAGCGTCTGAACACAAAACCACTGTGAATAGGACTTGACATTTGACAACTAGTTGTTCCCAAAGGATTTTTCCTATTAAAGTCCCCCTTGAAAATGTACATTGTTGGGAAAAAAATTGCTTTAAAAATCACAGCAGTCCAAATCAATTAAGTAAGTGTTTTTAACAGTTAAAAATTCCCTTGTTAATTCGATAAAAGACATTTGACTGTAGGTGACTGATATGCCAGGTGTACCTGCCAGTTAGATGTACCTCTTTTGTCTGTTGATGGAATTCGACTAAATGCTGTTTATCATGATCTTGGACTGTTTTTTTTTGTTACTAGCATGACAAGGGAAGTGGAAGAATATTTTGACTGTCTGTGAATGATCTAACAATAGGAGGGTTTTAATCATTGCAGTGTACATTTGTTTATTGCAGTGTACATTTGTGTATGTTTACAGATGGTGAATGTTACATTTTACATTGTGCAATGAAGAAACTGCGACCTTAGTTTGACCTTTTGGTTTGACTGAGTGTACGAAGTGTGTTTACCTCAGAGCAGCCATTCCATGGTGACTCGCGTGACATTTGAACAAAATGTAAAGTTTTAATGCATTACTGTTGTTAACCTGGCATTTATTCAACTCAAATTAGCATGTATTTGAGTCAGGGCATTGTGAATTTATGGTTTAGTTTTTATATGATTACTTTAAAATCGCTATTTTTTCATGTATCACAGTTTCTTTGACGTGACTCGCATGACAGGATAGAAAAAGGGATTTTTGACATCCCTTGATTCAAATAGCTTTTCCTATGGATCTACCAGTGTTCTAAAAATTATTCTTACAGAACTTAGAACTTAATACCCTCACCCAATACATGCATAAGTTGTATTGTGCCAAATATCCCTTGTTGTAAGAAAAGGCCTGAAGAAAATGTGACTCGCGTGACACAAATGCGTGACTCGCGTGACACAGTAGCTTTTCACTTTCACATTATAACTGTAATTTTAGTATAACGAATCAAATCATAATATTATATTAATAAAAATGATTTACCTGTGAATACCTTATGAAAGAGTGTGAAAACTGCTATTTATCCCTTTACTTTGGCAAATGTTGGGGGTGGAAATCTGGTTTAAACACAATATCCTTAACAATGACATAGAGAGAAAAAAATGTTTTGGAATTTTAGTTACGAAGTGATGTCATCAATCCACGGGTGATTATTTCAGGAAAACAGTTGTAATTCTTGGTCATGTAGAGTCACAGTTTCCTTAAATGGTAAGATCGAGCTGCAATTAATGATGCAGTTGTATCGGAATGTATACAGTACAGTCGAATCTCGTATGTACAAATGCTGTTAATACAAAATTCTGGTTATAACAAACATAAAGCCTTAGTCCCGACTGTGCATTTATGTGCACAATGAATGGGACTGATGTTCCTCTTAGTACAAAATTCTGATATAACAAACAATTTGGCTAGGTCCGAACGAGTTTGTATTAACGAGACTCGACTGTATATACATTTGTAAAAAACTGATTCAATTTCTTGTTACATAACTAATGCTTTTAAAGACTTAATTCGAATTCTATAATTTAATAGGGCCTATGGCATTGTTTCTTTGTATTACATGTAAATGAAACATTCCTGGCTTGTGACCAGGCGCGGATCCAGAGGTTTTTTTTGGGGGGTCATCCCCCCCCCCCAGCTCTGTCAAAAAAAAAATTCTCATACAAATTCCTGAAGAATAAGTCGAACCCCCCCCCCCCCCCCCGCGTGACACCCCCAAAAACATTATACTGGTCTAATGTCCGCCTGTTCAAAATACGGTACACCATTCTGTAATGTGTTAATAATCGTCCCCAATTGAACAGCGCCCCCAATTGAAATTGGTACCAGCCCCCCACCCCCCCACCCCCCCCCCCCAGTTTTTTATTTTACGGAAGCGAGTGTCCAGAGAAAAAAACGTGTGTACATTTTCAAATTTTTTGGCTGATGAAACCCCTCCCCCCCTGCGAAAATTCCTGGATCCACCCCTGGTGACTCGCGTGACATACATCATGTGTGACTCGCGTGACATTCTTGAGATAGTTTTTTCTACAAGGAATGTAGAGCAAATAAGAATATTCATACTTTTATTGATAGACCACCACTATTTCATTTACAAATATCAAACACTAGCTGAATCCCTCTCTAGTTATTAAATAATCTGAAAAAAAGTCCTTTTTTGTGACTCGCGTGACATATTTTTGAGGGTGTTTTCACGATGAAATAGTGGGAAAATACTGAAGACATTTCGAAAAATTCTCAATGTTTTATCAAATAGACTGGAATAGCTACCAAATGTATGCAGATAAAGCACAATCTTATGAATGAGCTTCAATTACTTCCTCAGTTTGTGATTTATACCCCTGACCCTCCGTTTCGCCCACAAAATTCATCCATGTTCAGGAGGCTGAAACTTTAATTCAAATGATTTATTTTAAAAAATCTTT